CTGGTGTCTGTGCAAGCAGCCTGGTCGGACAGGGAGGGGAAAAGAGCAGAGATGCAAATCAGGGTTACATAAGCAACAAGGACATTTAGCATGAAAGTTTAGGTGCTGAGATCCTTTTTTATAAAAGAAAATCTATTCCACAGTACAAACCTGCAGAGGATTCAACTCTCACTGACCCCAGCCACTGCACTGCTTAAGATGTGCCCTAGTCCTTTTTGCTGTTTCAACAAAAGTGATAACTCCCTAACTCAGATGCCTCCTTTTAACCCGTCACTCCTTCTTCATGACCTCCTCGTCTTTTGTGTGAATTGCCTGCTTCTGCCCAGGTGGAGTCAGTGATGCTCAGCTAAAATATCAGATTGCTGGTATATCTTGATGAAGCTGTCATCTTCTCTTGCTGCTCTACAGGTTAAATTCCATTCTCGAACCAGAATATATCATTCATGTCATGCCAAATATGCCACCGGGCACCCAGACTCTCTTTGTACAGGTCCAGGCCGACTTTTTTTTCTCTCTTTTTTTTTCCAGAGGGTGTGTTGAGACGGCAGGGAGAACACGGTGGAGTAGTAGTAGTAGTTTGAATGTATGAGATGCCTCACACCAAAAAGATGAATATGTTGCATCTAATTTACAAAAGCAAGTTGAAATACCACTTTATGTTTTTATTCAATCATTATTATAGATAGGACACACAAAAAAAGACAATTGGGTGAATCATCCACTGAGTTTTTGGTATTTTTTATGTATGATGATGATGATGTCACCAGGGTTATCTTAGCTTGGGTTTGGAACATAAAAACGTACGGCATTTTTGCCAAAAAAAAAAAAAAATCATTTCCACCTTATACACTCTGAAAATTAGCTTAGTGATGAACACTATGAGAAGGTGAATACTCCTCCTTTTGTCCAGGCTCTGTGGAGCATTAAACACTAGGGGCTATATCAGGAATGGGCCTCCTCTCTTTCTCTCTGCCTCTGCCTTTGCCAGAGTCTCCCCAGTCACCAGACTTCAGAGTAGAGTCACTCAGGCGTAGACTGTTTACTTTGAGCTGTGCAGGCACAGACATCAGCTCAAGCATATGCACATACACACTCATATATGAATGGGTGTGCGCAGACATATGCACAAACCCGCTGTGCATTCCTCATCTGGTGGCAGGCAGTTGATCTAATAAGCGTCACTCCTTTCAAGCATGTACGGAGTAATGTGCAGCATCCTAATCCATCTTTAGTTTTATACTCTGCTAATGTTGAATTTCAGTAACACACTGACCCCAGCCTGTTTCATTGGTCCGTACCTGCAGCACTGACTCTCACAGGGCTTAAAGTGTAACCGACTCTAACTGACCGCTGGTTACAGTGTAACAGGCAGCACCTCGACTAGCAATGAGGTTAGATTAGCGAATCAAAGTCAGCCTTTGTCTTTCCCAAAAACATTCTTAAGATTCCAGGCGTCCCCCTTTACACTTGGCATTGCGCGTGGTTTGCATTTGTATAATAAGGACAGATTAAGAGGAAACTGAGAACTGGGGCAGCATCAACTGTAAAGCCTACACATGCGGAAAAGTGTCCACATAGGCAGTAAATGAAAAGTGAAGAGACTAATTAATGGATGAAAAACTGGAGACTAAAAATACACTGCAAAAACAAATGAATTCTGCTGTCCTGACATGACAACAAGCAGCCGGGTTTTGCAGACCATGTTGGACATCAAAACAATGATCTGAAGTTTCAAAACATGTATGTTTCTCTTCCTCTATTTTAACTGTTGACAAGGTGCTCTGCCCTCAGCTGCTGGTCACTGGTCACACTGGATGCTCCCAGGTGTAAACATGCTCCTTGGGTAAATAAAGATCTCAACAAAGGCTCAGTTGTTGCACACGTTCAGCAACCGGTAGCTGAGCACTGGTTGGTGACAACTGGTGCCACTCCTCTCATGCTCTGTCTCTCTGTCTCTGTCTCTCTCTCTCTCTCTCGCGCTTGTCACAAGGAAAGGCTGTGTCAACAGAGACAGGAATGTCACTAAACGGGCCGGTCTGCCATCACGCTTCCCTTCCTCCTCACCCAGCGTTCACTCCTCATTGTCCTCTGGCTCTGTATCTGCACCCTCCTCTGCTTCTTACCTCATATTCGCTTTCTCCCACAGTTTCTCTTGCCCCCGGGTATCTTGAGGAAGTTACTTTGACATTATAGGGCTGCGTGATTTGGCTGTAATCAATGTCAGTAGGCCTATATTATAAGAATAAACAATCAGTGGTAATATGCAACAATTTTGATAATTTGTAGGGTAAATATCTGCCTGTTCAAGCTTCTCCAATGGGCATTTCTCTATTTTATTTTATTTGTAAACTGAATATCATTGGGTTTTGGACAGACAAATAAAAGGAATTGAAGATATCACCAGCAAAATTGTGACATTTCACTTGATAAACTGAGAAAAAAAGATAGCTAATGAAAGTAATCATTGGTTACAGCACTAAAGACTTTTTGACTTTTTGTGTCAGATATAGACACAATTACAGAACAAACTGATGTTCCACATATGTAAAACATTATTTACCTTATTTAACTTGTTTTGTTAGTTTCATTTAGATTACTGAATTTTTGTAAAACAATAACACAAAATGGACGCATCACCATGCAATTACAGAAGAAGAACCCTATAAATGATAACCCTGAATTAACATCCAGCCCTATTTGATACCTGAAAACATATAATTCAAATACCTGGAATACTTGTTTTGGGTGAGTATAGTTAATGTTCTACAACAGAAAAGCCACAGGCAAACTGTCGTGGGCTGTGTTGGTGAGGTAGGGGCAGGTTCTCTTGTGTAAAATAACAACAGCTGTTGATGTTGAAAGTGAGCTTGTAGTGTGGCCCTGAGCAACAGAAACACATGTCAGCAGCAGCTGAGTTATCAGTTGTAAACTCTAATGTTGGCAAAGAGGTGAGGGACTTTCATAAGGTTTCCCTTTTTTTCAACCACGTACCTACAGTTTTTTTAAGACAGCTCAACTCATTCATTAAATAATATCGCTGTCAAATTCATGTAAGTATGTCAACTGAGGATACTTCACACGGGGGGAAACCATTAGAGCACCTGTCTGCTCCTGGGCTCATTGCGTCACACCCACCTATCCGGTCAGTCAGTTTCGGTGCGCGTCGAAACCACAGGGTTGTTTACACGAGCCGACCACGAGCGACCGGATAAACAACCGATTCACCTGCCTCCCAACGAGACGCCGTCGCAACCGAGTAGTAGTATTTACCTGCTATAATAACCTCTCATATCCTCTTTACGCAGCGCAGTCAGATCCAATTATAGACAGCGGAGCGGTGCACACACAGAGCTGCATCCAGACCTCTGGAAAAAGCGGACAAACAAAAAGGCTTGTTGTCGGTCAGTATCGTGAGCAGGAAAAGCTGAGCACGAGAAGACGGCGGCCAGAAGCCAAACACAAAGCCACAGGTGTCCATCTCTGCTTATCCAAATGTTAGAGAAATGCCCGCTCAGCAAAACGGGGCTTAGAGTATTAGACACCCAATACATCCACACACTTGTACACCAAATCCCACAAAAGTAAACGTACAGTAAACAGACAGCAGCTGTGTAAATACCCAGACTGAGATAGTTGTTCTGCTGTACCTGCAAAGATAACCCGCGAAATATTCCTCCGTCCTCAGTCAGGGGTCCTGTGTGTCAGTCCTTACAGTAGCAGCAGCAGCGGCGGCAGCAGCAGCAGCAGTCCTGTACAGTGCTGATGGGATGAGAAGATGTTACTCAAGCAACTGAGGACATGGGGGATATTCACCCCGCTACCAGCGCAACCTGTTGCCAGCACATCGGACAGTCATCGTCCCGCCTCAGGACCGACTTCATTGGTGGGAGGCTCCCCGAAGAGGCGGCGCCTGCTGCGAACTCAGTTTCATCTCTGCACACACGGGTTATTAATACAGTCAATGGTGCGACCGGTTTGCACAGAGGTGTTATGGGAAATTATCTCTCAATCAAATTTTAAATGTCTCAATGGTAGTTTTGGGTTCTTATTATATCCAATACCAAGACAGGCTGCTGAGGCAAAACTAATGAAGTATTGACAGAAAACGGCGATTATAGCTAGTTAACATGGTTATTTACTTCCGTTGGCTACACTACAGCCTATATAATCATTAAACTGAAATTGTAAGTGTAAAAATGGGGCACTTGCATTTTTTTTTGCTTTTTGCCTAGTGACCTAAAATAAATCTTAACCCTTCTCTATACATCAATAGGCCAACCATAATATCTATATTAAAATAAACTGTGGTATCACTCATGTTTGTCTTTGTAAAGACTCTCAATTATCTTAAACATCAAAACACTCTCCTAATAATTTACTGTTTCCTGGGGAAAACTATGTAATTCAGTAATTATGGTCAGAAGGGAGATTTGAAGTTTTGAGCTGTGTTGAGTGCACATGCGGATTTCCTTGAACAGCTCCATTTAAACCCAAGTAAATAATAATGACTAATTTATTGTCGGAAACTTTAATATGCATATTTGTTGAAGGGTTTGTTTGCCTATAGCAATGATTCAAATTCTCTTGGTTATTCTATCACAACATTTCTTTGGAATTAATTTGGACTTTTGAACATTTCTCCGTTTTAGTTACTGTCAAATTGCTTTTTTTTTCCTGGAAACTTATTAGGAAATTATTAGGATATAGGAAACATAGTCAACTATTATTCCATTAATAAAAGCCTCACAAAAGAACTGTTGCAAAATGTCCAATTATTTTTTTGAATAAATTTCATAATAAACTGAGAAGAAAACCTTGCAAATCACTGGTGATGACTTAACACGATGATCTGGGAAAGTTAATAACAGTACTGTAACTAAAACTGAGTGTTATGACAGAGGAATTCCATTGTTATCTGTTTCAATGGGTTCTCCAACCCTCATTTTAATATGACAATAAGCAAAGAAATAAAGATGGGAATAAAAACAGACATGGACAAGTACAAAAAAATCTGTCTTTACTTCAGAGTTCAGTACCTTTCCCTTCCCCACCTGATGTGGGACTCACTGGTTCCTCCAGGTTCCACCAGGAGGCGCCAGAGCAGAGCAAAAGCACAGCACAAATACCAGTACAAAATAAAAAGGAACAGCTGAGAGAGCAAGAAAAGAAAGGCAACTTGGACATTGAATAAAGAAAAATTAAGGAAAGAGAGAAGGAAGAATAGTTATAAACACCTTATACCGTGACAGAAATGTGAAAAATGGGTATTTTTCGCTCTTTAGTTATTTGGTCTACTTCAAGGCCTCTTGCAGCACAGAGGCCAGAATATAAACATAAACAGATCAGACAGTTACTGCATTGGTTCACATGCACCCCCCTCCCCTCATATTTTTTTTTCTTTCTTTTTTTTTTTTTTTAAAAAAAGGACTATGCACATCTGATATGACATGATGTCACTACTTGCTATGCCAACACCATCCAAAAAGCACTGATTTCACAATTCATGTGTACTGCAGAGATAAAAAGAAATGGTTGACTCAATTGTACTGTATAAAAACCAAGACGCCATATTGTATACAACCAAGACACATAGGTTCAACTCATTATTTTGTTCATTGGTCAACTCTTCGGCATGTTCACAACTGATGGGAGTTCCAGACAAATGTTTTGTCCTAATATTTACAACTATTTCTGTGGTAAAAACTTTCTCTGTGAAGTGTTGATGAAATCTCAGCCCAGGTGTCCTTTGGATTAATTAGCACTGGGTACAAAATGAAACATTTAAGAAGTACAGGGTCAAAGTGTGTGTGTGTGTGTGTGTGTGTGTGTATGTGTGTGTGTATGCATTTGTGCAGGTGCAGGAATTATGAACAAAATTTAAAAATGGATTTTTTTTTCCTCACTTGACATTTATGTTTCACAATACTCCTGATACTGACAGTTTACATTGCAAGACACTGATGTATTTTTCCATTTTCCTTTCACTTGCTTGCAGAAAAAAAAGGCTAACTGTGATTGGGCAGTGCTAGAATGAAGCATTTTGACGGCAAATAAAGCTGTGAATCAATTAATGAATGAAACCCCAGTCCCTTTTAAATTTCAGTTTTTAAGAATTTATATATTGCGTTTTAATTTAAAGCCATGAAGATAAAAAGAATAATGTTGATATTTTTGAGTCATTGTGTCAAAACACGGTGGGGTGTATTTCGAATATTTCAACATTTCTTCCCCCGCCTAATGTGGGTTTGTGTGTATATGTGTTTGAAATATCATCGCACTCATGTGGTGCATGAGTGTGGCGAGTCAATCACAGTCAGTCAGTGCGGGAGCTTCCGTGCAAGTCAGTCACAAAGTGTGTGAGGTAGTGTGTTGGTGTCAGTGCTTTGCTGGTTGGCAGGCTAGATGTCTGAAGGACTGTGTAGTTTAACATTCATCATGATTTGACTCCTATAGGGGGTGGGGGAGAAAAATCATTTGCCTAGAGTCACTCAAAGTGCTATATATATATATATATATATAAGCATGAACGTCAATGAGTGTGTTTCTCTGTGTAGTGAACAAGTAAAGGGCTCGTCAAGAAAAAAATTCCGGCAAGTAGCTGACATGACACACTGGTCATTCACTTAGATCAGAACCAAGATGTCTCCATGTGTCCTTACGTGTCGCTGCTCCATTGTCATCCACTCCTCAACTCTCATTAGCTGCCACCAGCTGGCCTAATCCCTGGCGCACAAACACGGCCTGGATGTCCTTGGTCTTGATGCAGAAGTCACAGGCCCAAACAGCAGCACTCTCTCGAGTCAGCAGCCCATACGCTGGCTCTGTCAGGCCTGTGCAGTCCCGGTGGAACCAGCGCTGGCACGATGCCTCGCACAGGATGGCATCCTGGTCGTCATGCACCTCCGCCATACAAAGGCCGCAAGGGAAGACCATTCCAGGGCCACCGAGTTTTCCGGGGCCAGAACCGGGCCCGGTTGATGGGGCAGCAGGGCCAGGGGGCAGGGGAGACTGGGTGTTTGGGGTGGATGTGGAGTTAGAGGGGGGATTAGGGTTGCTGCCAGGTGTGTTGCCGCCATTGTTGTTGGTCATGTTGTTCTGACCTGAATTGGGGGCAGCGTTTGGCATTGGACCGCCAGCAACAGGAGTGTTGTTCTGCTGGTTGTAAGGCGTGGAGCCAGGGGCAGAGTTAGGTGGAGTAGACTGTTGCTGCTGCTGCTGGTTTGAGTTATTAGAGTTTGGGGTGTTTGTGTTGCTGGGGGGCTGTAGCTGACTGGGTGCCGGATGCTGGGGCTGGCCTGATCCATTCAGGGGACCGGTAGGAGAAGAGTTGGGGTTAGGCTGTGGCGGTGCTGATGGAGGCTGACCAGGTGTATTGGCGTTGGGCTGCTGGACGTCAGGGTGACCAGGGAAACCGCCCCCAGGCTGTGGTGGGCCAGAGTTAGGAGGAGGGCCAGGAGTGGTATTATTAGGAGGGGGGCCGTTGGGATTTAGGTTAAGCTGCTGCTGCTGCTGTTGTTGCTGCTGCTGCGGAGGCCCAGGCGGTGCCCCTCCTCCACCAAAGTTCTTTCCATCCTCGTTGCCTGGCCCTGGTGGACTGGGGCCAGGGTAGGGGCCATCCTGTGATGGAGGGAACTGTCCTTGAGGGGGCATACCTGGCAACCCTCCCACCATGTTGCCTCCGGGACCACCACCCATGCCACCCATCATGTTCATCCCAGGACCCATGCCGCCTCCCATGGGAGGCAGGGGACCATGTGGGGGCCCTCTCGGGCCTCCACCACCAGGTAATGGTGGGCTGTTGAATGGGTGTCCTCCCTGTCCATGCTGCTGCTGTGGGGGTATGCCAAACCGAGGATGGGGTGGTCCCCCTCCTCCAGGACCTCCCATACCGCCCGGAGACAACATGGGGTTGAATCCTGGCCCAGGGTGCATGGGTGGACTGAAGTTTGGTGGCATATTAAACTGAGAAGGGCCACCAGGGGGGAATCCACCACCTCCTCCTCCTCCTCCCCCACTGCCTCCCCCACCGCCACCTCCAAAGCCAGGCATTCCTCCAAATCCTAGCTGGTGGTGAGGTCCAGCGTTGGATGGAGGGCCGAACGGGGGCCTCCGTCCAGGCTGGCCGCCGCCTGGTCCACCTGGGCCTCCCATGAAGCCCATGCCTGCGCTCATTCTGCCTCCACCTCCATACCCACCTCCTCCGCCTGCGCCTGGGCTGGGAAGAAACGGAGCGCCACCTGGTCCACCTGCCCCACTTGGTCGAGATGGGGGCCCAAAGTCATCGTCAAACGGGTTGGAGGCGACCAGGTGGTCCACCATGGGGGTAGGGGGGGGTGCAAACTCAGTGAGGTGGGAGAACCCCGCCGCCTACAACAACAGAGAAGAAAATACAGAGCAAATGTTTGTTTGTTTATTGCTTTTTGAAACCAGGTAACTTAAATTCTCATTGCATCAACCTTCAGGGTCTTCTATGTAGCGAAATAATCATATTTGCAAACACAACTATTACCTGAGTGGTTGATTTTCTTGCCTTCTTCTTCTCCGGGCTCTTCATCTGTGAAGCTGAAATAGTAAAATATGGAGGGAAGGGGCGGAAAGGGGGAAATATAATATTAGCCACAACAAAAATAGGCCTCAGTGTCTCATGCCATTGGTCCACCACCAATCAAGTGCAGCATCACATTTGGATTGGCCAATACCCCTTAGTGACAGAGTGGAGCAGCTTTAGACCTAGGGCCTCTTTTTCAAGTCCAACAGTTGAGATGGATTCAATGATGGGACATAGACTGGCATGAGGACAAGATGCTGAACATCCAGGCGTTATCATCACCAAGGTTATGAAGCCTTGAATCGCAAATGACCCAGGCAGACCAAATGACCCAGGCGAGAGGGAGAGAGGCCGCAAACAGAGGCAGAAGAGGTAAGGTCAATGAGGGAGACAGGAAAAGACGAAGACATGAGAACGAGGAAACGAAGTTGAAGGTACATTGATAGCAAGATAGACATCAACCCCGTTCACAGGTCCACTCTGTGAGAAACAGCCACCACCGGAGACAGTCGTGAAGTTTACATATGGGGGAGGCGAGAAGGGATTTGCTAACAGCACCAGTGCAGCCCATTGCAGCGCAGTAATGGATGATTCCGATCTGATTGGGAGATGGGTGAAATTAATTCCTACCTTTGCTTCGTTTTCCTTGTCCCGCCAGTAGTCTCCCCGATTCGGCAGCCATTAGCTAATATGACTGTCGGTGAAGTGGCATATCACCGTTCATATGCAAGAAAAAAAAAGTTAAAAATGACGACGTCTTGAAGGCAATGAGCCGAGTAGGTGGAATCTGCCTTCAGGTCATGTCAGTAACGATAAAATGGTTATCATCACAGCAGTAACTAACACGTATTGGTAACTAAATTGTATTATAACGCCGGCCCAGGTCTGCAAACTCCTTTCCAGCTGCAAATCTTTCGCCACGGTGTCTGTCACGCCGGGATTTGGTCACCAAATAAACGTCAGGTAAACCTGAGCTGGTTCACGGTATTTAGCAGAAGTTCGTCTTGTTGCAAGCCAGTTTCTGCTAGCTGAGTGAAACTAGTTGCTTGCTACCTGGCTCGTCTGCCAGTACAAGCAAGTTACAGGGCACCCCCCACCCCTTTCTCGCTCTCTGTCTAAAATGATCACTTACAGATGTGTAGCTAAAAACTCGACCAGCTAGCTAACGCAAGCTAGTTACTGCCTTGGCTAACTAGCTAGCCACGTTACTCAATGTGGCTAGCTAGCAGCGTTGAGTAGCCGCAACACTGGCACATTAATCCGAAACTGTGGTTTATATTTCTACATTCACTTGTGAAAATGTGCACTTAATTTCACTTAATACAGCATGTATGAGATAAAGCAATCGATCACGTTTTGAAAACTGTTGTTTACTATGCTAACATTAGCTTGCTAGCTAACGTTAGCATGCCACTGAAGATAGCTAGCCATCTTGCAGACTGTCTTGGAAGCAAACTGTACCCTTTCTCCGTTGCTTGCTCTGCTGTCCTTTAAATTGAAACTCTCTGGTGTGTCATTGCCAGCAAACCAGTCCTCACACGGTGTATGCTTGATGATCCACCATTCAACTATAATTCATTCAAAAACGCAAATTTTGCCATAATTATCATGGCCTTCTGTCGCCACCGGACAAAGAGGGACAAGCAGGAGTATCGCGCACCATGGAAGGTTTCATCTCGTCACAAAAATGGGGGTGTCGATAGGTATAATTCATAACTAGCAAAGGTATTTTTGAAAGAATTTATAAAAATACAGAATTTATTGCCTAGAATATAACGTTATACATTTTTATTTTGAAAATCTACCAACCCCACTGTCGTTCACAGTACATATTTTTTAATTTATGGATAGTATCTACCTTTCGCTGGTACATATGGAGCAGCTCAGAACGGACCATTTCCCAACAATACCCTGTACAATTAAACTAGGGGTGAACATTAATTAGACAGCCAATTAAGTACATTATCAAATGACATCATGATTAATATTGAATTAATACGTAACATCAAAATATTAGCATAACTGTCAACTTTGGTTTTAGTCGCTATCTGAAAAAACTTTGGCATGAAAGGAGGTGGGAGCCTATTATTAGTGCATCAGAGCAGAATCAATAATATTTATTGAAAAAGCAGCATTTCAGGAGGCCTGTGTACTGATTTCTGTTCGCAAAAACCACATTGAGACGTGTAGAATTATTTTACAGTGCTGCATTACTTATAGGATAAATCCCTGGAATAATAGGCTACCGATGTGACTATCTTTGGTGGGTTACCTGGTTATAGGTCTGATTTCCTCAAATGGCTATTCCACCATGGTCTCTACAATTAATCACCGCCCACCCGGTCCTGCCTCCCCCCTCACAACTTCAGTAACCCCCCTCCCCTCCATAAACCAGGCGCAGTCAGGAGCCTCGTTGCGACAGTGGACGGTTGTTAAAGATCAGATAAGCCACTCTGGGAATGGGACCACAAATCAGAAGCAAGAAAAACTTTGCCTTCTTTCGGGTCTTCCCACTCAGAAGACACCTCTTCATCCAAAGGGAATAAACTTTTCCTCTGAGCAGAAGAAGGAACAGGTGTAAGAAAACCACAAATGGGATAAAATAGGGGTATTGTTTCGTTTTATTCCCTTGCCAAACAGGCATGAAGGTTGCAAGTCTTTTACTTACATCCATTTTAAAAGTTGGAGGTGTAAGAATAGAGCCACTGACTTTTTAAAGGTATTTATGATATGCTTTAAACTGAGGTGTGGAGATCCTGTAGTCTACACAGGCTCTGTCCTAGAATAAAGCAACGGAAGTCTTTTGTTAGAAAGGCTGTGATTTCTAAAGGTGCGTCTCTGGGGCCCTGGTGTATGGCGCTAAAAGGTGTCGGAGAAGGCAGAGAGGTTTATTGGTTTCCATCTGAGTTGCAATGGCAAAGTGGTTCAAGGAGTTCCCCATCAATCTGAAGAATGGTACCGACAGGATCCGCTCAGCCTCCGAGTCCGGCTCACAACCAAGAGCCAATAAAGGCGGTCTAGTGGCCAGCATTGGTACCAAAACAACAGGCTCCAAAACGGGCCACCGCAAAAACTCCTCTGCTGACAGCACAGGCGGAGGTGGTGGTGGAGGAGTTGGGTCTCTCCTGTCCGGAAGAAACCGAAAGAACTCAGCCATAGAGCTGAATAGAAACGGTGTCACCTCCCCGAAAGATGGAAAAGTTTGGGACACGCTCCTGTCTGGCAAGAGTCGCAAGAACTCCAAAGCGGAGCCGGTGTTTGAGGAGCAGCAAAGACCCCCGAAAAGCTCCCCGTCTGCCAATGCCTACATCAACCGGCTGATCAGAGTGGACAAACAGGACAAAAGCCCCAACTTCAACAGCGGTACCATCAGCAGCCAAGTGGTACCGGAAGCAGAGAAACCAGCCCAGTGCAAGACAGAGACAGTGAGTTACAATCTCAGCCCTGAGTTTTTGCTATCATATCCTGATGATGTAGTTGCGTCTCGTAAATGTACGTTTCTTCTTGTTTTCCCCCTGTAAGGTGTTAAACGTCATTCAAATACCATTCCTTTAAGACCTATGGTATCTATGGCATGAAAAACTTAATTTGTTGTCGCCACATTTTTGCTGTGATATTTGAGTGTTAACATTTTGAAATCAAACAGAATCTATTTTTTGATATTTTAAAAATGATTAGAATGAGAGAGTATATCTGCTCTGAAGTCAGTGTCACTGTTAAATATCCTACAGCTGTTGACTGATTTAGGTGGTAATGTTTCCCTATGGACTCCTGTGGAGAATAAGTGGGCTACGTTTATCCAGGTGTTGTTCAATTTTAATACTTCTTTTACTTTATTTGAATATTTCCATTATATGCTACTTTACATTCCTACATTTCAGAAGAAATGAAAGTAGATAAAAAAAATCTTCATCTAGTTGCTATGGTTACTAGTTAGGCTACTTTTCAGATTAAGAAAATCAATGATGGGTTAAAAAAACATATGATGAAACTACAAAACAGTAGACTATATAGCCAAACATGACTATCTCTAACTTGACCAATTAATACATCAGTGATCAACAATAATCTAAGATATTATATATAGCACAGACAGTCTTCTGCCTGACAAATACTTTTACTTTTGATACTTGAAGTACATTTTATTGTTTGTCTGTACTTTTACTTATCCTAAGTAAAGTTACTGTAACTGAGTATTTTTACAGTGTGGTATTGCTGCTTTTACATACGTAAAAGATGCAAATGCTTCTCCCACCACTGCTGAATGATTTCCGGGTGTCTAGCTGAATCTGAGGCACCTTTCTGTAATCCTAGCAGCGGAGCAACAAATTCTACGCCAGCAAAAATAACATGTGGTGTCATCAATACTAGTGACAATGAAGCAGCCAGGATCCAGTCCAAGCTCTGAAAATTGATATTATTGTTTCTGTTTCTCCCTCCCCTTTGTCTCCGTGACACCCATTGTGTCCACTCCTCCCAGTCTGTCTTTCTATCTCTCTTTCTCTTCCTCTCCACCCCTCGCCCTTACACCCACACCTTCCTTGCCTTGAATACAAAGCTGTGGTCAGACATGAGGCCTTTACCTTCCTCTTCTCCTCTCTCTGGCTCAGTATTCCCCTTTTTCCCTCCACCCACCCTCCCTCTGCCCCATCCCTCTCTTTCACTAGATTGAGGCCCCCTGGTGAAGGCTATCATGTTATAAAAAGCATAGTGTCATTTGACACTCACGCGCTAACTCAAGTCCCCTCCAGCTTGGCTTTGAAAATAAAAAAAAGAAGAGAAGTCAGGGAGGTGACAGTGGAAAGATGGTGAGAAAAAAAGACTGATAACAGAGTGGAAGAATAAAGTGGGAGTTTTATGTTGCAGAAAGGGAGTAAACCTTCTTGATCTCATATTCATAAGTCAGCCTCTAGTTCTGATCGGCCGAGTTCTAGATAATGTGTGTTGTATTTCTACCTTTGAGTTCCTCAGTCAATCCACAGGAGGTGAAGGTGATTTAAGGCAAATTTGTCCCACTAAACCTCTCCCAACTAGTTTCACGCTGTCAAACATCTGCTACTTTATTCAAACACAGACAAATGGCAGCATTTCTTTGGAAAGGGAGCACCACTGGAGGTGATTAGAGAGACAGCTTTATTTTACGGCCTATTATTGTCTCTTGGCCAGTGGCCTGTAAAATAAACAAGAAATTATATGGTGGTGATAAGATGCCAGGACAGTCAAGCATGACTGGTGTGGCAGAAAACAGTGCACAGAGAGATATGAGTGTGAAGAGAGTGGGCTTTACGACTAGAGTGCCTCTTCAGACAAAATGTAAACGAGGCGCCAGTTATTCTTCTAACTAGCTGAAGCCTGCCTTGTAGTTTATTGAGGTTCACCTGACCTAACCTTTTAGCCCTATCAAATGAAATCCAGTACCTCTTCATTGACTCCACATGTCATGTTTTAAATGCAGCTACTTTGATATTCGATTAATTTGTTTTTGTCATTTTTCAAGCAAAAATGCCAAAGATTCGCTGGTTCCAGCTTTTCAAAATGTGAGAATTTACTGTATTTCTTTGCCATATATGATAGTAAATTGAATATATTTGGGTTTTGGACTGTTGTTCCAACAAACAAGATATCTGAAGATGTCACTTTGGGCTCTGGCCAAATATAATCAGCATTTTCTGACATTTTATAGGCAAAATATAATCAAGAAAACAATCAGCAGATCAGACAATAAACTAATCGTTACTTGCAGCCCTATTTTAAACTGGGTGATATTTAACACTATAATTTATATTATATATCTATATTTCCATGTATTTTGTGATGCAGGTGATAATTCTTGAGGATTACGCAGACCCATTTGATGCTCAGAAGACCAGAGAGCAAAGGGAGGCGGAGAGGGTCGGGGAGAATGACGGTTACATGGAGCCTTACGACGCCCAGCAGATGATTACTGGTAAGACTTTGATTAATATGCTCTCGCTGCCTTCTCTTGTAGCTGTCAGCTGTTACAGTAAGATTTGTCATTTCATTCAGTCCCTGATCACTGAGTCTGTACAGCTGTGTTTGACTGACCAGCCTCTCTGTGAATGACAGGATTCTCATTTCCAGTCTCTCTGGGCCGAGGAGTGAGAACATGAACTCATTCCCCTAGTGCTCTCTGTACCCCATGGGGTTGCCACGGCAACTCTGTTGCGTTCGGACAATGGGTGCAGTTTCCTGCCCCTGCTTCCTCTTTCCTGTCTCTGTTTCCTGGTACTATTCTCTAAAAAGGAAGCCGGCCCTCAGCGCGCCCCCCCTCCCTCCTCTCGGATGCAGATCTGTGTAAACCCCTATATGGACCTGTCTGACCATTTATCAAAACTTCCCAGCATCCAGGATGACTGGTGATCCGTCGTCCAATCACATGCCCCCCTGACCTTTCCTTCCATCACTCCATTGTTTTAACTAAACAGGGTTACACAATAGCCTGCTGTGAATGTGAAAATGTTTTATTGCACTGCTCTCTAGTAGATTTTACTTCAATCAGTGCCTGCACTACTTCCAGGCCTCCTCAAAGAAGTCTACAGAGGATGTGATGATGTGACTGAGTCAATTTATGAGGCTTAAATCATACTGAGGAAGTAAGCAAGTTTCTGAGT